CACCGTTCAGGCTAAATCCAGTCAGCGACCCTTAATAAAAATCATTTAAGCTTACATAATCAACAACGACGTGAATGCCCGAGTTTCTGACTTGACGGTCATCTGCCACCGTCAGGAAATCATACGATATTGCTTCTCGAATGAATCCCTCATTTGATTTTCCCCAATTCATTAATCCACGACCAAGTACCTTTTCGAGATCTTCTCCGCACAACGAAACGCTTTCTCTGACTTCTCTGACCGCTTCCCGCTATATTTTCTAGTAGCTGGAAGGAATTTAGTCCTTCTTTGATCGCTTTAAACCCGCTTTCGTCTGCATTTCATCGGCGCAAGTTAAAGGCTCGTGCTAAGGTTGAAACGTTAACAACATGATCTTTCCTCTTTGAAAAACCAAATCTTGATGGGTTGACTCGAGCGCCAGTACTATCTGTACTATCGACCAAATCATAAATAGCTATAAATAATCGGCCCTGCTACTTCCAAACGTCATCTTTACTTAAAAAGCATAAAATTTTGACTTGCCGTGAATTATATCTGTCGTAAAACCATTTAGTCACTGATACTGCGTACGATATTACCTTTGTTTGGCAAGCGAGGGTCCAAAGACTGAAGATGCTTTTCCCGACGAACGCGCCACTTTCGTGCCGGCTTTGAAATTTGCGCGAGATCGCATTGTGATACAAATAGTATCTGTCTTTCATCTCAGCTCGTCTTCCATCAGTGACGCAAAGTACACAAGTCATGACAGATTAGTGGCTATTAATTGAATCCTAATTAGGTTTTTACAAGGACACCGGAAACTGAAACTTTCTCCCTGTGGTGAATTTCAAAGTCGTATGAATCTCGTCATGCTTGACTTCCATTTAACGTTCTCCGAGGCCCTAAATCAAAATTTTAATGCGAGAAAAGTCAAAAAACGCCAATTCGCACCCGGGAAAGAAATCAAAGGCTCCTAGGAGCAAGCTCATGGATGAATTGAATTAGTGTAAAAAAAACCATTCCATCGGAAATTTAGGTGTTTTAAACAGTTTGGGCACTGTAACCGTACTCACTTTTCTCCTTCGTTTTTTTATTTTTATTTTTTATTTTTATTTTTATATTTCATGACTTTCTGTGTGTTGATATACTTGATCAGGAGCCCATCAAATGGAGCCTCCATCTCCATTAATTTCTTGAGTCAACCCTTTCCCGAGTAGATTTATAAATAGAACGGCTAGTTTCCCGCGAAAAGTGTCATATTTCCGTGAGTCTCGTGTGTCACCGCACCGTGCAAAAATAAAATTAGATGAAGTCGAACTCAGAAGCTCGTCCTTCGACCGTTTTCCTTTTTTCCTTTACGTCCATTTTTACAATTTCACAGCCGCTGGGATCTGGGTATCATGAAATAAAAGTTAATGAATTACTCGACTGAGACTGAGCATGAAGCGATGGGACAAAGACAGCGAAAGGGTTTATCTTTGCGAGTGTTCTTTTTTTTTTTTGCCGTCATACATCCCACATTTAAGCATGGACCTTGAAAAGAGTCGACGATTAAGCGTTCTGTGGAGGATTTGGAACTTTTCGATGATCAGCGCCGAAAAAGTGCCGGGATCATTTGATTTTTGTCATCACCGTGGAGTGGATAAGCACCGCGTGCAAAAGCGATGACCTAAGTAGCAACTAACGAGGAATGCTTCAGTTCCGAAATTTGAGAAATTGCAGTCTTCCTTTACAACTGACTTGTATCACCATGAGAGTTGCCTGATAAAACTGGCACTTGAAAAGTTGACCAGAAGACAACAGTTGCTCGACCGTGAAGCTAACTCAAAAGTAATTTGCTAACAGAGGAATTTGTGACATCGCGCTCCAGTCCAAAGACCCACTTATCTCAAGAAAAACAAAATGGCTTGTATCTGTGCCAAAAGAATTATGACTGACTAACAGGACAATTCTCAGCAGTTAATGTAGAAGTTTAGGCTCAATTCCTTCCTTCGAATTCGCATCTGTAGATCACTTTTGTGCGAGAAAACAATGGCTGGGCCCGGCGTTACAACATAGCAGGGAATCATCACACTAGCTGACGGACAAAACAACCACAAGAACTACAAGTATTTATTCAGATAAACGCATTTCGGAAAAAAAAAACCTTGAAAAACTAGAAATTTGATTAATATTAAGTCATTTAGCCGAAATAAGAACCTTAACGCTCAAAAAAATTGGCTAAAAAAAAAAGAATCCTGTCAGAACTACAGCCGCAGGTAGTAGTTAATCATTATGCATGTAACAGACCATCTTCGTGGCCTCTTAATGTGAGACAAGCAACCAAGATTAAGATTAACACAGTCAGAGTTTAAAACTCTCCACAGTATAATCTACCCGCTAGAAAGAAAAAAAAGAAAATCTCTGAGAGATGAAAACGCTAAAGTCACGTTTCACTAGCTTATGATTCTGTTTGGCCGGTCAACACCGAATTTCCTGCTGTTTGATGAAGTACAATAGCAGTGTCATTTCGTCGTTGTGATTGGCTCTTCCCACCGTCGGCGCGCGAAGTCTCCCCTGGGAAGCGTTCTAATTATAAATCTACTCGGGAAAGGGTTGACTCCAAGGGCTTGTATGGGAGATGGAGGCTCCAGTTGATAGGCTCCTGACTTGATAGATCACGTTTACAATTGTTAATTTGATTTTTGGCAGGTTTTATTTTTTGCACACAGTATTTAGGATTTGGTTTTTGGCATCTGCTTTTGGCATATAGTGTTACGCATTTCGTCAGCGTTTCTTCGGTAACTTTTTGGCATCTCTATAGCACCCACGCTTTCCATCAACGACTTTGGAGCTTCCCTTCCTTGCCCGACGCTGTACGTGTTCTCCCGGGAGGGGGAGGGGGGGGGGTACTTGGGTTAATATTTGCTGGGTATGTGCCGCTGGCCTCTCACAGCCCCTACCCCATTATAGTCTATTTTTTGGCCAATTATAGACCCCATCTTAGTCACTTTTTGGAAAATATAATTATCGCGATCCCATCTTAGTCACTTTATATTTATGCATCAAGCGGCGGAATGTACTGCGGTCAATGCGAGCTTATTGTTAAATTTAAATAAACAACAACTTTCTGATTTTTTAACAGAGTATCTTCCCATTTTGAATCACTACTTACCCCAAAAATCCGGAAATTTGCGACCCCATTCTAATAAATCGATTGAAAATGCGACCCCATTATAGTCAGTCCAGTCGTGAAAATGCGACCCCATCCATCGGCACATCCCTATTAGCCTATTAGCCTCTTGTAAGGGAGTACCCCCCCCCCCCTCCCCCGGGCGTGTTCTATACCTTAGGAAT